CTCTGCCCATTTACCCTAACTACTTTGTCCACCCAAGACCAGGACTACAAATTATATATTACATATATCATATATATGTAGTTGATCAACCTGTGTATCTTTTGCCCTACCCTATACCACTTCTCTTGTTTGTATCCCACCAGGCTCTACGTTTATTTGGTAAGGTATATTATCCAAGTCTCATTGCATCTTTGGCACAATCGTTTTTTAGAATAGAGTAGAGTACAGCAGTTGGGACGAAGCTGAGGAGTGAGAGGTCGTTATATTATACGTAGAGGTCCCCCCCCCACATATATATATATATATCACAACTTTTGGTGTCTATATAACGTTGTACAACCTCTTCAATGGTTCTTGGCGATTTGTGGGGACCTGCGATGCTTTGTGCTGACTGCTATTTGTATTGATTCTGGCAGCATGTCCAGTTTTCAGGCGCGCCTGCCTGACAGGTTTCGGGTGGGGATTCTTCCCCTGGCTGGACACCGATATCTCCAGCCACACAGCGCTTTGTATTGGCTTCCACAATTTCAAAGGCCAAGAAGTTGAAGTGGTGAGTAGCTCTTAGGTTGGAGCCCATCGCTAGTAGGTTGGAGGCCATCGCTTCTAGGTTGGAGACTTGAATTCGTTGCCAGAATTCTGACTGGATGGTGCCCGCGATGGCAGGGCTGCTGGAGGGATTTGGTGGCCTCCGGCTCTATGCAATATAAGTGGTTCAATACTGCACACTCTGTGGGCTTTTTCTAGCCAATTGACGAGATTGCGCGCGCACATGTCTATACTCTACAGCCAGAACAATTGAACAGACCCAAATTGCATGTCCCACACCTATAATTGAAAACTGTTTTCCAGGATGTGGGTACTTGTAGTGAGTTCTGTTAAGATCTTCGACACTGTATATGTGTGCACTACATGAATGTATGTACATTTGAGTCGGGCACGCCAGCCATAGATACAAGGAGCCAACATAACTTTTTAAAGCAACAAAAAAGCAAAATTATCCCGGCGAGAGACCCCAAACAGTGTAGAGTGTATATCAAACGTACTTAGGGGTCAAGGGATGCGCGCAGGGGAGGCGGAAGTAGAGAGAGTAGCACCCGCGAGCACGAAGTAGTAAGAAGTAGAAGGTGAGGCTCGAAGCCGAATAGAGTAGGAGGAAGTGATAGGAGGAGGAGGTGAAGCACCCGCGAGCACCAAGGAGGAGAAAGTAAAAGTGCAAGTCCGAAATGTCCAAATGCAGCGTCCTGCAAGCGCACATCTTTTTCCCGGCATGGCGTGTGGGACGAAACTGTGTCGCGGAGCCGCAGACAGAGTATGTTGCTGCACGAGACTGCAAGCGCGCATCTTTTTCCGGGCATGGCGCGCGGGACGAAACTGTGTCGCGGAATCGCAGACAGAGCATGTCAGTCAAGCAGGAAGGGTGTCACGCAGATGTTTGAGAATGCGCTTCCAGTTGCCGTAGGTCGCCACGGACATAGCCAGTTGCTTATGTCCGAACCGTCGATACCAGAACACGCGATGTACTTTGCGCAGCTGTGCAGGAGTGAGGTTGTCCCCCTTGTGGGCGTAGTAGCGTCGGTTCCATTCTCGACTGATGGAGTCCAGTGCGCGGAGATCGTCGTCAATATCGATGACACAAGTCTCTGGGACAGTCGGAAAGTGGCAGAAGAACTCAGCACGAAGAGCAAAGCTCGCACAGACCTGTGCAAGGTCCTAGGTTTGCAGGAGCTGTAGTAGTCTGGGCAAGAGTGTGTCGTTGTTGGTGATTCGCATTCGAGAGAACCACGTACGGAGAAATTGTACGGTCAGATAGCAATGTCCACAGCGCTCTGCCCAGATAGCGTCGCTGTCGAAGCCATAATAAGTTAAGCGTCGAACTCGGCGCGGGTGTAGTAGGCACCGTCCAAAGCCAGCGCACAAGGAACCTGTAGCGGATACCCGACCTGAAGGATAGCTGGGAAGTCTGTGACAGGATGCAGATGGAAGATGCCTGCAGTGAGCGTCTCTGGCGACCGGTCGTTGCGCGGAGAACGGGTGCGAGAGCGGTGTCTGTTGGAAGTCCGTCTTCTCGTCTTCTCGGTGAACCGCGAGAGTCCGAGGAGCTCGACATGGAGAGAAGCCGCGGACCCGCAAGCCAGAGAACGGGAGAGGAACGGCAATGGTGAGCTGTGCGCAACAACGCGCAGGTGTCTGGAGCCAACAGCTGCGGATGCAACCCAAAAATAGAAAGCGAGTAACACACACACATATCCACCAGGTTGTCAGATGGAAACGAGGAGGGAGAACGAAGCGCCTACGCTCTTGTTTCCTTGTGGCAGAAGATTGTCGACGGAGAATGTGTGAGCAGGAGAGGAAGAAGAAAGCAGCTCGATCCCAGTGGAGCTTCAGCGCTCCCAGAGCCCAGCGTTGCGGAACCGCGGATGTGGTATATGTCATGTATATGCATGGTGCGTAGCCGCGACCGGTGGAGAGGAAGAAGAAAGCAGCTCGATCCCAGTGGAGCGTCCGCGCTCCCAGAGCCCAGCATCGCGGAACCGCAGATGTGGTACATGTCATGTATATACATGGTGCGTACCCGCGACCGGTGGAAGCCCATGAAGGCAGACAATGTCCACGGTTGCTGTTCCAGCGTGGAATAGCGGTTCAAGGCCCCCAGAGGACAACAGCGCGGAACCGCGGATATGGCGTGTGCGTGGTGCGTATCCGCGACCGGGTGCCAGTTAGGTTTGGAGAGCTATTGAAGAGACCACATGCGCTGGTAAAATCAAATCGAATAAGAGCGGAAACGTTCACGGTGAGCACTTGGATGTCCAGCGAGCAAAATGCCAAGCGTGACGACAGCCATGAGCGCTCAATGGGATCAACCGAAGATCACATATCTGAGAACGCAATGACTAGTGATGTGTGTGCTACAAGACATGTTGAAGATGACTGTTTTCTGTTGTCCTGTCATGCACTGCTGTTTGCCGTTTCGTGTCAGAACTTCAAATTTAGAAACAAGACGCAGCAATTGAAACAGAAAATGTTTACGCAAGTAGAGATTACCAGAAACGGTTGAGCGCACAGTCACCAAAGCACACGCCAAGTAAGCGAGCGAGTGAGTGAGAGTGCATGAGTGTGAGCATTGCCCACAGTGACCAGAGCGCACCTGGTGGAATGACGCCAGGAGACAGAGGTCTACGTGTTGGGGCAACGGTTCAGAGAGCACAGTGTGACAGTGAATGCGAGCTTGAGTGAAAGGAAGAGTGCTTGTGAATGAGAGTGAGTGTGGGCACTATGAGTGCGAATGAGAGAGCAGAAGACCAAGGAGCGCACGCGTCTGAGAACGCAGTCACCAGAGCATGCAGCAAGGTAGAAAATGAGTGAGTGAGTGAGTGAGTGAGTGGAAGTGCATGAGTGTGAGCGTTACTGGAACCACGCTAGCAGACAGAGGTCTACATGTCGGGACAAGGGTTCAGAGAGCACAGATCTGCAAGCTAGACGATCACACATCTGAGAACGCAGTCGCCAGAGCACGCAGCAAGTGAGCGAATCAGTGGGCGAGGGAGAATGAGCGAGAATGTGAGTGAATGCGAGCGTGAGTGAAAGAGAGAAATGCTTGTGAACGAGAGTGAGTGTCGGCGTTATGAGTGTGAATGAGAGAGCAGAAGACCAAGGAGAGCACACATCTGAGAGCACAGTCACCAGAGCACGCGACAAGTGAGCGAATTCACAGAAGTGCTGTGCCTGTCACGAACTCTGCACGTCGCGGTTCACAAAGTGCTGTATGTGCCACCAGATCTGCGCGTCGACGTTCGCAAAGTGCTGTGCCTGTCA